CTAAAGCAAAAACGATAGCCACAAAAGCGAAATAAATTTATTTGAACTCCATAAATCAAAAATATTTTCAATCGTTCAAGCCATAGATTATACAAATAATGATAAACACAACTGGAAAAGACACCGCGAAGCCGTCCGGATGGGTCCTGGTGACACATTTTCACCATCTCCAGCTCTTAGGCTAAATATCAGCAGATCCGTTGCGCATTCCAAAGGGATCCTCGACTGCAGCTATCAATTAGCACCGGCGAACGAGAATGCGGCAGCTCCCTTGCTAGCAGCATTTCAATCAGCGGAAAAGTTGAACGCCGTCGGAGGTGATGTTGCAGCGGTTCCGAAAAGTCTTGTAGCTTATATTTGCCGGAACTGCTGGCGAACTGGAAACTGCACCAGCGGGCGATTGTTAGAACTAGAGGATCCTAACGCCGAAATTGATTGCTCCTAATGGAAGAGCTGCACCGATCTCGCATCACTCGATGCCGCATTGCTACTGAAAAGTGACGTTTAAAGCACGCACATACTAAACTAACTCTATGATTGTTCAAACTACGCATTTGCTACTTATCTTCAACATAACTGGGACATGGATACCATCGATAATACGTAATGGTGCCGCTTTGTTGACAAACCGTTGCGGTGTTGTTGCAGTTTAATAAGAAACATTAAGTTTAATATTCATTCATCTGCAACGCATAAAACACTTGTTATAAACTTTCATGATGTCTTGAAAAATAGCAACCTTATTGTAACGTACTATTTTACATTTTAGTAACAGCTCAGTGACTTAAATTATATCTGGATGAAACGTACACTACCGGCCAAATTCATGTTGCTATAATGAAGAATGTTCACAAATATTCCAAACGTGTAAAAATGAATCAATTCAGAATTTTTTACTTGATATTGGTTATATGTGAGCGTTTTCATTCGTTAAAGGTGCAGAATAATAAAGAACTCAATAAGATCAACTTTATTTTCTAATGGTGTAATGTTGTTGTTGATTTGTACTTTTTCGGAATTTCGATAGAAGGCTTTGCATTATAATCACGAGTTATTTTTTTAAAGCTGAGTGAGTAATGGCTTGATGACGAAAAAAAGTTACGGTTTGTGTAATCAAAAAAAAAAAAAAATTGCTTTGATTCTCCATTCATACAATGAGTCAAATCACCATGGTAATTGATGCGAATCTATTTAAATTGGAATCTACGGTAATGAGGACATTTATTGAAATTACCGCAAAAAAGGATCTAGATTTCACCAGTCCGGTTCCAGACTATGACTCCTTTGGGATTCACACTTCCAGAGCTGGTGTCACACCACCTGATCAAAAATATTAAATTTAGTCTTTGTAAAGATACTATTTTCGAACAGCCAGAGCGCTGTAAAATGGAAGTTTGAATCCAGAGCGTTTGAAGATATAAATCTAAGCGTCAAAATATCGATCCCATACTCCAATTGTTGGAAAGTGTGTGCCCTGTAATATTATGATCGATCAACCGGTCAAAAAGCAAGCATTTTTGAACAAACCTGAAATTGATGCTACGCAGCAACTAGCTGGTATATTTTTTGAAGTTGCATTTTTACATTTATTTATTTATTTATTTGTTCGTGTTAAACAATAGTTCACTTAAATTCATCCAGCTTTCTCTAAGTACAATATGAATGAGCATATAAATAGACTTACATAAATGGTTCAAGTTTTCTCATGACGTTTTTGAATGCCGCATACAGTGCACCACAACCAACTACTTTGCAGCTTCCATTTTCTTCTTTTTTATGAACATTTACGTGTAAATTAATTTATTCAGACAGCATCGTAAAAATATGGGCTCAAAACCATACAAAACCCACCTTTCTGTTTTGTTGGGAGTCCAACTTTTTGCATGATGCATTTTAAAACATGTTTATGCTAATTTTTTATCTTTGGAAACAAATGATTTTTTGAGGATTATATCTTTTTCAAATAGCTTGGTGTCATCCACAAGTTATGTAATAGAATAGGGGGAGCGTGGAAGTCTAGAAATTTCTTACTAATATTTTTCGGGATTATTAAATTATCAGATGTTATGAAGATATTTTACACTTGCAAGATACAAGAAGAAATCGTAAAGTATGTGCTTGACACATGAAACCGGTAAACTTAGCTAAATTGACAGATTTTATGTGTCAAACACATACATTAAAACTCGTTCTTGTAACGAAGAAGTACAAAATATCATAAATAAATTGATTTCATAATTCTGAAAAACAACTTTATATAGAGTTGGTTGGAAATGCTAACATGAAGCTTTAGTGTGAAAATTTATTAGCTAGAGAATGATCTTTTAGGAAAGGGTAGGTGGGTAGTTCCGTTAGAGTACAGCAGTACGAAAATTGAATAGAAGTTGAAAATGAGCGAAGGGCCATTAATGCGACAGTATAAAGTCAAACGCGCATCTTTTGCCTAACCCGTACGATGTACGCAGAACTTTTTATAGCAAAATAATGGCCGCAACCCTGCCGTTGGTTATTAAATTTTTTTTAAACAAAATTTTGAGTTTTAAGAACTCATCTTCATGTTAATTTTGTTCGGTTAGAGTGAAACCCAACATTAATCATAGACACAAACAAACAAATATTATTGTACTGGAAATTCTAACCCGCAATGTACACAACTATAATGCTGGTCGGAATATTGGCAGCCATATGTAATCCACCGCAAATAAATATATTAATTTTTTTTTCAATTTATTCACGATTATTCACACCATATTATCATAAAAACATGAAACACTTATAACAGCTGTAATCTTTCCAAAAGATTGAATTTAATTTTTTTTGCGAAGTAAATTTTTTTAATTCTATTAATTTTTGAGCTGCAAATTTGGGCATCAATTTGTAAACTTCGATAAGGCGCGTATAATTAATCGAAGTAAAATGTTTCAATTCACCATAAAACTTTATGCGCTTGAAAAAAACGGATTAGTAATAAGTTTTTTAAAGTCATTAATTTCATATGTTTATTCAGATGACTTCTTCTACGATTGTCATCTCTGATTTTTCAGTACACATAAAAACATCAGTATTCTTTTTCCGCATCACCACACAAATAATCCAAAACATATACAAATGTGGTTAATCAGAATGTAGTTAACATGTATTCGAAAACATCACTGTACTGTTTTAAATTTGTCAGTAAAACATTACAGTTAAGTCAGTCCAAACCTCATTTGCAACATGGGTCATCAAAAAAGAATGTTGCATGCAACTGATTTGCAACTCCTTTGGCAACAAACATAAGTTGCAAAGAGACTCCACCTTCTGCGCTTTTTAAGGTACAATGAAGTTTTATATGTGATGCGTTGTCCATAATTTAGACCTTCATTTAGTCACACTATGGTTGTTGTTATTCGCTGGGAAACAAATGGTGTTGCTTGGGTAGAATACGTGGAAATACTTAAAAATACTTAACCTATATTTTGCATTAGGTTGTTACCACCGTTGCTAAACACATTTTAATTGTTTAATTATCGAATATCGCCAAGGATTTTGTGTGAATATTTGAAAACTGCAGTGTTAATATTTTAAGCTTTAAATGAAATTTTCCATGTTTCTTTTTATTTTGTAGGCATCAAGATATGGTCTTCGAATAAGAGAAGATCATTACAAAAACGATTCACCTATAAATTAAAGTGGAGAAGCATCGTCAACGATGGAAAAAAAAATAGCCCCTGAATATTTCTCCAATTTAGAAACGAATTGCATCATTTTCGCATTGTACCTGCACTATTAAATATATCACACTATGATGCGCATTTAGCATGATCCGTTCGACATGTTACAGGAAGAAGTCAGGTTGACAATCATGGAACCCTTCCCCTCGTTGTTCGTTTGGTTTTATCGATCGTTGCGTGATAAGATTAGGTACTTTTCGACCGTTATGATTTGGCCATGTAACACAGACTCTTAGCACTATCGAATCTGAGCAAGAAGTTGTGAAGGTTTTCCACACCATTCGCATTGTACTTGTTACCGAGCTTGTGGCATCTGGAAAGTCGCATCTTGTAGCTTCGCACCGAACGTGTTTATTCTGCCGTAAAGTTCCATAATTCTGCGCAGGCCTAATTCCGGGCTGTTTTGAAAATTTCTAAAATAATTAGAAATTGCAGATAATTTGAATTGAATTGAACGTGATGGTAGGCATTAACCACTTGTGCAAGGTAAAAATATAAATTTAAATAAAACTGAAAAATACTGCAAAATTTTTGGAAAATGCACGGAATTAGGTGCTGCGCTGAATTATGGCACTTTGCCGTACATAGTACACATGAACTACAATACAATATGAACTGCATTTCCTCGGATTCGAAACCGTCAATTCAGATGAGAAACCATTATTAGAGCTGAGCATGATGGCTTATCAATCTGCTATGTGTTGATGTGTCGAATCCATTTTTTCATTAGTTCTATCAGCTAACAGCAACGATTGTAAAACATAAATTTAATCAATTTATTTTAATACATGACATGTAAATAAACTAGTATCGATTGTTGAAACTTTTAAATAAAAACAACCAACCAACCAATCAACTTATTTTACGTGTCGCGTTCTGGAACGATCGAGCTGTAAAAGTCTCGCATGAAACGCTTTGATTCAACCGGGATAATCTATTTGCCACTACGGATCAGAATGATAACGACTAGTTTTTGAAATCCTCAATCACCAGCACCTTGTCGTTGATGGTTCCAATTACTAAAACTGGGAAATTTATGTTCAAATGAAAACATCGACTACTAGCAAAATGCTACTTAAACGACTTTACCAGTCTAAAGTAACTCCGTTTTCCGATGTATGTTCCCCGAAAAGCGTATTGCAATCAGTACAATTTCCTACTGTAAAAGGTTCGCTTCATCGTCATAGGTCGACAGGCAAATGCGCTGCGTAACCCTGGTCAGTATTGTAAGCGGTCACCATAGTCGACACATTTTCTGTGATAATCGACTGCCTTTGCTTGCGACACTTGCCTTAAACTAATGAGTAAGGAAAATTACGAGCCCTGCTAACGCTCGGCTCAGCTTCCTCTCTGCAGTTGTCATCAACTGCGTAAGCGATCAAATGACAGTACCAAACTAAAATGTCATAAGACAGGCTCGACACTGTCGCCGAAGACTGAGCTGTTGATGTTGTGCTTGTGTGAATTCTGAAAATAGCAAGCAACGATGTCCTAGAAATAACATTTCTCATCAGAAATGGTTCAATTTACACCAAATTGACGAATTAGAATAAAATCAAACATGTCATATGATACCTAGTTATTTGATAATTTTCTTTTTGCTCGAATGTTGTTCTACCGTTTGTTTTGTGTAAGAGAGACGACGGTAGAGCAAGAGAGTATGAATACAAACAGACTGTCGTGCACGACAACCAAGCGAGTGCAGTAAAAAACGTCAACCGTTACAACCCTGGCCCTGGTATCGTTGACCTGTATAGGCATAGCTAAGAACTTATTCTTCTCCATACTTGCACAGCTTGTGCTAGCACTATTGGTTACATTCTGAAGTCTGCCATGTCAATCAACGGTTCCTTATTTTCTTGAGAATCTGGGACAGCTCTGTAGAGGAGTCCAAATTCATGATAGCGCACTGGAAAGTCTGCTCAAAACTAGAGAGGTTCTAGAACCTCTATACTCTAAATCATCAGTAATTCGAATAACACACGATTTTTTTTACACTATTAGATAAGCATAATCGAAATACATATACCAATTATCACGATTTTATTGCAATTAAAATAGATTCAAACAAGAATTAATTCCATTTCATAAGTGACGAAAACTATAAAATTGACGAGGCTTACAACAACAAACAACAAAAATAGCAACCGGTAGCTACGATGGAAGTTATGCAAAATTAAAAATACTTAAAAATACTTAAGAATACTTATGAGAGAATTAAACATATTTAATGTAAACTAGTACTAACGTTTAGAGTGGGATGCCCCTAGCATTTTTCTACAAGCACTTTCAAGTTAATTCACTTTTGAAGACGTTCTTCTTCTTCTTCTTCTTCTTCTTCTTCGCATTTTAAAGTGCATATTAGCTTATTGCGTGCTCTCAACTTAGTGTTCTAAATGCACTTCCACACAGTTACTAATTGAAAGCTTTCGATGCCAATACCAATGCTTGAATTCGTATATTGTGTGGCAACCATAATGATACTCTATGTCCAGGGAAGTCGAGAAAATTTCCAACCCGAAAAGATTCCCTCGGAATCGAACCCGCCGCCTCCTGCTTGGTAATACCGTGCCTTTACTGACTAGGCTATGGGCCCCACTTTTGAAGACATTATTTGCTTAAAAAATATAATTTGTATCGTTCAAAACGCGAGCCACGAATAATTTTCTACGATGAATCTGTTTTGTTTACCTTTTTTTATACCGCATAACGATGATGCGTGTTCGAATCATCTATCATATTGTCGATTTAATAGAAACAAAGTGTGAAAAACCAAGGGGGAGGACGGCTTTAATCCGAGTGTCTCTTTAGCTGAGAGTTACTCAGAGTTACTCTGATTTGCTCTGATCTGCATCGGAAAAAAACAAGGCATATCTCGCGTAACATTTGAAAAGGGCATATAATCAAAATGTAAGCAAATCGGTTTTTGATACCTTTCTATAGCACCGCTTGATTGCTACCAATCGTGTAGGTATGTTCCGCATAACCGGTAAAAATCATTATAAATAACTAGATTTTCAAAACGGCCGATCACAAAAATTTTTCGAGTCATTTATTGGCCCGCACGCTAAAACGGCCAACCATGTATTAAATATTTGGATATTGTGTACTGAACTGTAGAAATGCTAACAAAAAACTTAGATGTTCTTATAAAGGAATAGAAGTAGGCAGATTATTTACAATCTATTTTCTGGTTTGTTTATATTTTGGTTGTAGGCCCTTTTAAAATGTTACGTGAAATAGGAATTAAAATGATTAAAAAGTCCGAGAAAAAGGCAGAGAATATTTACAATCCATTTTTTGGTTTGATTTATAATAAAAACTTACTGTCCGCTTTCCGGTTTGCTTGCCCGCATAAATGCGAACCATTACTTGACCTTACCGAAAATAGTTAAAAATTGTTTATAATCCCTGCTAAACTTTAACTGAAATGGTTATGGAACTTTACATGAACGTTTGTGTGATAAAGTTTTAACGTTATGTATTATGGTTTTTTGGAGTTAAAACTGTATCACATAAACGTTAACGTAAAGTTTCATAACCATTTCAGTTAAAGTTTAGCAGTGATTATAAACAATTTTTAACCAACGGGTAGAACTGCAACATGAGTGTGACTCCGACGATAAGGAAACATTATTCTGTATCCCGATGTTTGATTCACATGTTATGATTCAAGATAGTTAAAGTCAACAACAGTGAAATATAAGTCTTCTGGTGCTGTTCATCACTTTCAAAACAAACGAGGTGAAACCTTAGACGAACCTTAAACCCGAATTGTTGTCTAGAAATAAATAAGACATTTTGGAAAAATCCACTAGCAATGAGAGAAAGATTCGCTCAGAGAGCAAAAGAGTTTCTCAGAGTAACTCTAGAATGCTCCCCTAGGAAAAAAAAACAATGCATTTATTGCTATTAAATGTGCTTACACTGTGTTCAATTAAGAAACCATCACTCATAAATGTTATAAAAATCTTATAGCTATGCTAATATATAATAAATTACAATTTTACCGCATTCCATATAGTTGCAGAGAAAAATCAAGGCCTACTTTGATCGAATTCACACAGCAATCAATTTTACAGATGACCAGCTTCTATGTCAATGTCTATGTTCATAGTTGCAGAAAAACATCAAGGCCTACACTGCCCAGAAAAGCATATAGCAAGCCGAGAAAAACGCTGCTGAAAATGTATTTCTCCGAAGACTCTTATGGATGGGATAACCTTCACGAAATAGAAATCAATTATTTTATTCATATGTTTCACTTATACATTTTTGCCAAACATCAGCCTTACACATTCCATAAGACAAACCACAAAGGTCCTATAAGAATGCATAAAAGGTATGTGTGACTGCTTATACATTTCATTTGACACATGATCTTCATTAACTTTTTGCAAGGCATCTGCTTATTAGTTGACTTATACATTTTATGAATCATCAACAATAGAAATTTGCCAAAAAGTATAAGGAGTTTCCATCCGTGTTGTTTCGCTATTTGTTACAATGTGTTCTAAACAAAACATGTAACTTTTAGTGCACAGTGTAAAATGCTGGTAGTGTGCAATCGCTTATAATGGATAACTCATTTCTGATAAAAGTCCATATGGGTCTGTTATGCTTTAATGCGTAGCACATTGATCAAATTTACGCAGCAATCAATTTTACGGATATTCCGCATTTTTCGGCGGGTCATCTGATTACTAAAGAGGCTGAATTTATGAAAAGACGACATGTCAAAATTGGAACAATCGATTATCTGTCAGTCATAGGAAAAGTTATTCCAATCGAGCAGAAGACCTGTCAAATGGATAAGATATCACCTCGCCAATTCAGTCTCTTTCCTGATAACCACTCGGAGCCAATGACAAGCTAATATATAAAAAAATCACCATTTTTCTTCAGAGAATAATCAAGGCCTTCTTTGATCAAAAATGCATAATAATCGAAATTAAGGTTGATCCGGATCACGGACGGCCTTCCGTTGGACACTAAGTATTTAGAACCAGGTTGTGGGTTGCACTAGCCATATATGCCTGTTGCTGTGGCTCGGAATAATACCGCAACCACTTGGCCATTCTTTTCCACTTTATAGCAGACCATAATTTTGAACCTTTTTCTACTTACTGTGAAAATGTCAGCCAATTTCATGGTGAAACAAAAAAGTTATACCGATGCAATCATTGCTATTCGTATGCCTGTTCGGGAAAATAAAAACGGCACAAAGCGCGTTAGGCCCTCCCCAAAAGTAAGGCAGATCAGGTGGTGTTCATTTGAAACGCTAGTGACCTTTTCGGGGTTAACTCTGATTCACATCCGGTCTTGAGCCAAGGTGGTCAAAATACTCCAAAGGTTCTACATTTTCTACTCGAGGAAAATCGATCAACTACAGCGTCACCTACAGCCGCGAATGTGAAAGTTACTCGTTCCCTCATACATTTTTTCGGTTTTCCCCATACACACTTCAAAGGGTTGCCGTGAACCAAATGACTTCAAATTTTGGCAGGGTTTTCTGACCCCCAAACTTCCATTCCAGGGGGTAGCGTTTGAAATTCCAGACTTGACCTATTTTGAAACACTCTACTGCGGAAAGTAGGGTTACGGTATGTAATGTGGGTCTAGTCCTTTCATTCGGCCTATCACGCAAATAAATAATTAATTAAGGAATATTACACAAAAAATAAGGAAAATATTGATCACTGATGATTGATAAATGTGTACCACACACAAATCAATTTATATCACAACATTTCAATACATTTTCAGCTCTCGTAAGTAATACATTGGTTGAGAATATCACTCTGTTCGGAGTTTTTAGCCGCCATGACTTCTAAGGTTAAGATGGGAAGGTTGCACTGACGATCATCAAATGGCCTGATTATGGCATTTATTGAATGGAATTACCTGATAATACACACTAGACGTAAAACTCACAGTTACTGTTTGAATATTTTATGTTTATTTTAATTGTTTAACAACGTTTTCACAAGTAAATCATGGACCCAACTTTAGGGACACATTTCTTTTCTATGTTCCTAACTTTGGCCCATGAAATTCATTTGACAGCATATAGCAATAAGAGTAACGTCAACAATGTGGTTTGCATTTGGATGATAAGGAACGAACAGGAAGGGAGATTTTTTCTGCCAAATCTGTATAATGAACATCACAATGTTTTGATTTAGATATTCTGCGGTCGAAAGACGATAAGCGAAATTTTTAATTTTTAATTTTTAACTTGAGTGATTTAATGTAGTTTTCGTAAAATTTTCTCTAAGAAATGTTTTGAGGAATGAAGAGTATTAAGTTAACAGTGATAGTGATAAAAAAAATACATAAGAAAACGTTACCAAGAGCGTTTTTTTTTGAGAATCAAACAGGATAG